TCTTGGTTGTGCCTAGTATTTTTCTTTTTTCATCTCCTACTGAAAGTTCAACCTTAAAATAAAACCAATAACCCCCTACATGATATAGCCATGGAAGGGAATGGCTGCATGGACAGCCAAAGGAAGAGGGATCACGGACTTTCTTTTCCCCATACATGCTGCAGATGGTCCAGGGTAAGGGGGATGAAGCAACAGCCACAACTTAACAAAAGCAACCAAGCTCATGACACATGCTCCAGATAAGAAAAAGACAAAAGGGAAGATAAAAGCCAAGGGAAGTCTTTTTTTTTTTTTTTGGAAAGGTTTTGACAGACGCCATGTCTGGCCCACCCCAGCATCCCCAGCAGTTAGACCAGGGCCACAAGGTGAGCCTCTCATGAAGGTGCTGACTCCACTTTGGATGAAGAAGCTACCCAAGGCGGTTTCTCAGGCCTTGGCTAAAAGTAGCCCCAGGAGAGGGTGACACAGGTCTGGCCTACCTCCCACCACACAATTCAAACAGATGTTCCTGCTTTCATATTGATTATAATGGCATTCTACCAAGTTTGTTTGCTTATTTTTTGAGAGTGTTTCACTACTAAAAAGAAAAAAAAACCTTTGAACGTCACCATCCTTAACCCAAGCTTACTCCAACACTCTACTCTGGCTGATGTCTGTTGATGTTACAAATGTCCTAATTTAATCATTCACCCAACAAATGGTTCTTGTGTGAGCAGTTGTGCTCAACAGTGAGAACAACTCTGATTTTCCACGTGGAGGTCAGTTTCTAGGGGTGGGGAGTAAGACAGACGAAAGCAATGACGGAGACAATTAAAATGATGGGACACTGCTAGTAGTGTTGGGAAGAAACTGAACATGCCACCACGAGAACAAGGGTGGGGCCAGGATGAAGAGCATGCCGGCAGTAGGAACAGTGCTAAGCGAGGCACCAGGAGACCTGTCAACATGTGTCTGAGGAGCTACTGGGGACCAAGGGAGAGTGGGGACTGCTGAATGGCCGTGAGCAGGCAGGAGATGTCCAGTTTAGGTGTTGGGCAAATCACATCTGCTGCAAGGAGAGATAATCTGCAAGGGGTAGGCCTGAAAGTGAAGAAAACGGGACAATGGATGAGGTAGAGACCGAGATCTGTATGGAAGAGAAAATGGATGGCCTATGCGAGAGTTACACGTCCTCCTAAATTCATGTGCTGAGACTTGGTTGTGATGAGATGAAGAAGATGAAAACTTAACCGAACTTTGGTGTTGAAAGGGCCTTTGGGAAATTAGAATTAAGATAGAGTGGTGCCCCCAGGATTGAGTCCTGGTGGGTTTTAAGGAGAGGGAATGAGACAGACAGACACATGTGCTTCTGCCCACATTGTGATATGGTCATAAGAAACTCATCAGATGTGGTGCCTGGACTTGGACCTCCAAACTGTGAATTGAATAAACCACCATTTTAAAATACCCAGACTCAGGTATTTTCCGTTACTTGGAATAGAACAGACTAGAACAGGTTTTCAAGGTGGACAGAATGGATCTGGGATGGGGCTGCAGTGTCCAATTTGAGGAAGACACAGACATGGGGAAGACTCTGGCACCAACACACTTAGAGGGGACAGCTGAGAGCAAGGCTGGCAAATCTGGAGTATTTATGAAACAGCCAAAGTGGGGGTGTCAGGTACATGTGCTTTGCTCCCCCAAAAGCCAGAGGCATGTCATCTACTGACTTTTCCCACTATCCCAATGTGTGCCTGAGGACTGAACTTTTATGGGCATGCTCCTTGTGGACAACCTTAACTTCTCGACTTTAGAAGGTGTATCCAATCCAATAATGATAGAAAACATTCTACCCTTTTAAGGATGTATAAGTTAGTAGGAGAGAAAATTCTGGAAAAGCTAGATGGTATAGAGATAGCAAAAATAAAATAAGATATGAGAATAAGCTTCTGTTACAATAAAGCTGCATTGAGGAGAAACCAAGAATCAGAGAATTCCAAGGCTCGCTCTTCCATCAACCACTGGAAGGTCTTACCCTTTACATATTTCCTAAAATATTACAATAGTTGACTTCATCCCACTTCTATTTGGACATTGTCAATATTTTGTTTGGTTATAAGTTCAAATAATTTCCCCAAAGGCAGATCATTCCATTGTTAAGCCTCTCTTAACAGTAATGCCAGAATGTGCTCTCTTGTCTTGAGCCAGAATCTGCTACCTGTCCTTCACAGTGAGGCTTAGATTTGCCCTCCAGGGACCAACCACTAATCCTTCTTTACTAGGATGATCTTTGGCTACAAGGGACAGCCATTAATGGCCCCTTTCCTTTTAAGAAAAGTGGGGGGAAGAAACCCACATTGCAAGTTGACAAAGATAGCAAAAATAGCATTATCCAATTTCCTTAAAATAAAGTCACAAAACTATATGATGAGAACATACATACGGAAGTATAACACATGACATGGAAAAAAATAGTTACATGAGTCCAAATTACCTCACTCACATGGTGAATTGAGCACAATATATTCCTGAGTGAGTGATTTATTAATCACCAACATTAGACAGGATGCCAGTCAGAACGGCCCCAGCCTGTGAACAGGCTGCTTTCCAAAGCTGACTTCTGAGTCCCTGGCTTGGAACTAAGGGGGCTTTTTCCCACAGAAGAGTGCCCAGGCCTCTGCTGGTGAGCCTGAATCTGCTACTACTACAGACTATAAACAGTCTCTATTTCTGCTGGAACCCTCTCAAAAGGCTCCTGTCCACTGCTCTGAAAGACAGGCAGGGGCAGGGTCTCTGCATTCAGCCTGCCTGAGGCTACTACATCCAGGAGCTGGAAGGTCTAGGATGGGAGCTGGGACTCTCAGTAAGATGGGGCTGAGGGTGGTGGCAGTGGGAGAGATGGGAGGTAGAGGACAGGAAAGCGAGTGAGCCAGTGAGCTAGTGAGCCTCACGCTCCTAGGACACTGGTGTCAGACAGCCCTCCAAGCCTGAGCCCAGGCACCCCTCTTGGTATCTACATGACCTTGGTCAACTTTCCCTCAGTCTGCTTCAGTTTCCCTACCTGTAACCACCACAGAAAATAACATAGACCTTCTAGAATTAACATGCAAATTAAATGAGATCATTTTTTTCTTATCACCTTTATAGTAAGAAAAGAAACTGAAGATGAAAAAATAATAAAAACACACAACATGACTAACTAAAAGACATCAACTGGCTGGCACAGTTTTTAAAATGTAGGATGTACTCATGAAATAGTATCTCTTCTCCCTCCTCCCCTCCTGGGTCACAGGACTCTCTGTAGAGGGAGAAGGGCCTACCCCTAGTTGTCTTCAGGTCTGAAGTAGACAAGAAAAGGAGGGAGTAGAAGGATGGAAAGTCCCAAAGACAAGGAGAATCATGACCACCCAAATAGGACACCACTTCCTCAGAAAGGACACGGAGCTGGCGGGCTGAGAGTCAGGGACTTCCCACACTTGGAAGTGTAGCTTTTTAAAAAAGTTACAAAATGTTCTATACAGTATACCTCCCTAAGGTTCCCACACCTATTGCTGACAGAAGAAAACTTTTAGAAGTAGAGATTATTAAATATGATTAAACTGAACATATTAAGTAAAGTTCTCAAATTTATACATTTCCTGCAGAAATGATTTCCATCAGAAAAGTGAAGTTAGAACACATTAGAACAGGTAAACATGAACAGAATACTATAAAAAACATTTACTTTCATCCTGTATTTGTTACAGGTCCTATTTCTTTTCATTATAAGGCAGTTTTTCCCACTCCCAGCTTAAGACTGATTAAATGACACGGTTATCATTGTACAAAAAAATAGGAAATATAATTCCTTTTACTCAAAAATACATCCCAAACACACAAGCTTCAGGATCCCTGTGGTCTTAGTGTAAGGTATCAGCATGTTTGTAATTCAAGATGTATCCTTCTCACACTTCCCGCTGAGGGGTGGGGGCAGAGGCTGTTCCCCTGCGCCTTCTACACCAAGGGCTTTCCACTGCACCCTTCTTTTCCAAGGCCAAGGACTGAGCTTAGCTGTGAGGCAACGAAGTTTCAAGAAAATTGCACTTTATTTCTCTTTAACTCATAATGAAAGAGGACAGCCCTCAGCCCCTGTCCCAGCCCCTGTCCCAGCTCTGGCAGCTTTTGTGTTACCACCTGTACTCAGGCATACTCAGCACACGAGTGAAAATAAAGTGCCTTTCAAGACATTATATAATCCAAATCTCAAACACAGAAGAATAGATTTAAAACAGGCAAGAAACAATAACACTTGGAAACATAAGGACTTTTATGAAAATTATAACAAATGAGGCCTATTTGGAAGAAACTCCAAATACATCTCTAAAAAAATTTAACTCTAGATATAAAACAAATCATTGAACTAAAATGATAAAGATTACATCAGAGAAATAAATTTTAAGTGATATAAGGCACTTCCAGTGAGTCCCTTTAGAATGTGTATTGAAAGAAATGCTGTGAATGAAATTATTTAAAGGCCAAAAGAAAGCTCTTGATTCCTTTTCACCCCACACTCAATTCATCTACTACACTTTTCCTAAGAAAGGGAGGCTGAGCAACTAAGAATCTCACCTGAATTTCCAGAATTGCTCAAATTCATCAAGTATTAAATCTTAACTTGCTAGTTTAAAAGCTGGCTATACAACACAGGAATAGCAAAAGCGTGTTTTAACTTGTCAAACACAGGTATGCGATAGGATGTACTGCAGTCCAAGCACACTGCCCTGGCCTGGACGACCACGGATGTTTTGTTCAGGTTCGTAACATTTCTTAGTAATAAATGGCTTCCCGAACACACCCCATGGCCACTGAGAGCAAGAGAAAGCTCCCCACCCCCCGCCAAATTACCCAAACTAAAACCCTCCCACAAGGCTATAGTAAAAGGAAAAAAAAACAATCTTTTAAGCTTGTCAGATAGCAAATAAACTTCACAATTTGAAAACCTCATTAAAAATAATAAAAGTACATAAGAAATTGTAACTTACCACCATCAGACACAGTTGCAGACTGAAAGAAAAGAGAGAGAGACATGAGTTAATTAGGCCTCATGACAAAACTCAGGAAACAGAACGACTACCTAAGGAACTAAACTGGAAGATTCTTCAGAAGTTTCTTCAAGGCACTATCCAGGTGCAGGTGTCAGAGGAAAGTCAGACAACCCAGTGAGTCAGGAGTTAGGCCTCCCACCTCCTGAGTGAACTCCGCCCAAAATGAGTGACACCCAGACAAGAAGGAAGTCATCATCATTTTCATCTGAAAGGAGCAAATCCCAGCATGTTTGACATCATAGTCTTAGTAAGAGCTTCAATGAAAACACCTTTCACAAACTCCAGCAGGAACAGCCTAGAGCTTCAAGCTCTGTGACACAGCATTAAGGAGGCAGATGAACACACACACACTCCACCAAGTGCCAGCCTGCTCTAAAACCTGTTGTGCACAGGAGGGACTCACCTAGCACCAGACACTGTCCAACACACCACATGATACCAATCTCAGCATCTGCTAGCACCACCTCCATCTACAGGGACAAAACCTGGGTTCAAAGAGGTAAAATAAATCCCCAATGTATGGCAGAGGAGTTGAACCCTGAACTGTGCCTGGAACCCATGCCCAGCCACTCGTCCAGGTGGTGAAGCATTAAAAGGCTGGAGTAGAGGAGGGTGCTGGCTTACAAGGCACCAGGAACGAGAGCAAACAAGCCATGCAGGAGACTCTGGGCCAGTACCAGGAGGAGGCCAGGAATAACAGACATTGAAAATGACAAAAACCTGCAAGTAATTCTTTGATGGGAAAGGCATGTGGGGAATATATGAGAAAGACTATTTGGGGATGCATGTGCAAATAACTGGTCTGGAACACCAGCTCAAACCTGTTGGTCAGTGATGCAGTGACCAACCCCAAGACAGAGACCTGAAGAGAGAGGAAACTGGAAGAATCTAAGGTGAGAAAATGTGGGCAACCTAGGGGCACAAAATAAGAGAAAACTAGCAGAGCCCACGTGGGAAGGGAGAAGCATTGGGGTAAGATGACCTGCATTCTCGCTGGCATGTCCTGGTCCCAGCACAGACCCAGCCCTACCTCAGGCAGCTGGGCAGAACACAAGAGGCTGACCAAGCAAAGGCCCTAACTGCAGTCACGTCAGACAGATGTTTGACTTGGACACAGAGTCAGGCTCTGCTGTCCTCTGCATCCACAGTACGCATGACCACATGTCAGGAGTGAGAACAAATCTACTGCTTCAGGTTGGCACAGCAGGAAGTCTCCTGGGGCTCATGTGCCAGTCTCGAGTTGGGGAAGACGTGCACCCATGTCTCTCCTTCCAAAATGCAGAGGCTTAACAGAAGGAAGCCAATGCAAAGAGCACTTTAACCAGATAATCTGGTTTACAAGCAGAGCAGTGCCTCTTCAGCAGGCTGATGCCAACATTCATGCCTCTTCCTAAGTCCCAGGTTATCCCATGAAGTGAGGTCATTAAGGATTTAAGTCCTGTGAGATCAAAATTCAAACAAGAGAGGCCCACATAATACCAATCTCTGGCATCTGCTAGCACCACCTCTATCCCACAGGTTACCTCCCCACTGAGGTAATCATAGAAAAGGAATCATAGTGGGACCAGCAGATGGCATAACGGTTACATCACTGGACTCCCATGGAGTTGACCATTGTTCGAGTCCTGGACCAGGTGGCTTAAATTCAGGCCGGGGGCATGTGCATGCATGCCCAAAATCCTGAGAGGAGAATGAAGGAGAAGGAATTGCAGCATGGCCATCCCTCCTGGTGGGTGATTTCTCTCTTTCTGTCTCCCTGTCTCTCTCTGTCTCTCCAGCAAACGCATGCACCCTATAGCAAAAATTTCTCTTAAAAAAAAAAAAAAGGAAGAAAGAAAGAAAGAAAAGAAGTCAGGGCTTCAAACCAAACACCCCTTTCCTCATGGCCACAGAGACACCATTACAATTCACCATGTAGAAGTGAAAAAATATATATGTAGTAGTATTTGTGTGTTTGCGTAGATAAGATCTCACTGTGCCACCATCCTCTTGCTTTCCACGTCACTGGGACTACAGGGAGATGTTAGTACTCCTAGCTTTTTAGTGTTAGCCAGGAAACCCAGGGCCCTCATGTGGCCTCAGCCTGCCCATTGCAGCATCTACTAGCACTTGCTACCACAACTGAGCCAACGGTGACATTTTTTTCTTCCTGTTTGACCACATCATCCTCCAGTGCCAAGGCCTCCAAACTCTGCCTTCCAGGCTGCCATGGAAGCCAACTCTCTCCATTCCAAGTATACCTGTTACCATGGAGCCCTGCCTCCTGCTCTCACCTGGTATGACATATCTACAGGACCAAGAAAGCCAACCTAAATGATCCATTCTTCTCTCTCAAAGAATCTGTCCTTCCTCTGACAGCAAAAGGAAGCTTTGACTGTGACCTCCTGACAGTCCCCTGACATTTTAAATTATCATAGGACCCAGGTTCAGAACATAAAATCCAGTTTCAGAGCATCCAGGCACCTTTTTCAATAGCAAAAACATATCCAGTAGTGTGTCTACTTTAATTTCCATCTTGTCTGGCAGAAAGATAAAAGAGCAGACTCCTAACCAAGCCAGTACTTGGCCATTAGTCTCACTTGCCAGGGACTCATATTGCGGGTAAGTCTCCTTCACAGACACTAATGAATACGCTTTGCAAAGCTGTCCCTCTTTCTGTACCCACAATAAACCATCTATGGTCAAATTATAAGTCTAAATAATATTGAAGGCCAATTATTCCCTTGAGATGATAAAACTTTGCAAGGCTATATGCAAAATCAGAAACACTGCTAGTAACAGTATCTGAAAACTACATCATAAAATATAAACTTCTTTTTTAAAAAATAATTATTTATTTAATTCCATTCGTTATTACTATTTTTTAATTTGACCAGACAGATAGAGTGAGAAAGCAAGCCGCCAGATCTAGGACTTGAACTGCAGTCGGCCATGTGGGAATCCAGTGCCCTTAACCACCATGTCACCTGCTGGCCCCATAAAAACTTCTCAGATGCAAAGGAGGTGGCTTTCATCCTGTCATACTCATGACTAAAATTAAATTCTCAGAATTTGGGAGACTGAACAAAGCACTAGAAAATCCCCACACACAGCATTTATCTCTCCCCATCCCCTAAATTAGCTAAAACTCAAGAATCGGGCAGGAGAGAGGAGCATTCCAATAGCCAAAGAGACACTGAAGAAGGTGCCGCCAAGCATGTGATGGTCACTGAGGACAAGAAGAAAGGAACAGGGACGATACAGACTTGTCTGCTGAGGGCACTGCCGAGGGGTAATCCAGCAGGAGCCACTGGGCTAGCACCTCTGGGAGCCACTGGAGGCAGAATCACCAGACCCTGGTAAAGTTCCATAAACATGCTTTTTGTAAAGGTAAACTTATTCCATTCGTTATTACTATTTTTTAATTTGACCAGACAGATAGAGTGAGAAAGCAAGCCGCCAGATCTAGGACTTGAACTGCAGTCGGCCATGTGGGAATCCAGTGCCCTTAACCACCATGTCACCTGCTGGCCCCATAAAAACTTCTCAGATGCAAAGGAGGTGGCTTTCATCCTGTCATACTCATGACTAAAATTAAATTCTCAGAATTTGGGAGACTGAACAAAGCACTAGAAAATCCCCACACACAGCATTTATCTCTCCCCATCCCCTAAATTAGCTAAAACTCAAGAATCGGGCAGGAGAGAGGAGCATTCCAATAGCCAAAGAGACACTGAAGAAGGTGCCGCCAAGCATGTGATGGTCACTGAGGACAAGAAGAAAGGAACAGGGACGATACAGACTTGTCTGCTGAGGGCACTGCCGAGGGGTAATCCAGCAGGAGCCACTGGGCTAGCACCTCTGGGAGCCACTGGAGGCAGAATCACCAGACCCTGGTAAAGTTCCATAAACATGCTTTTTGTAAAGGTAAACTTAATTTTTTTCAAACAGTTTTAGATCTAAGAAAAAATTTATTAAAAGACAGTACAGAGAAAATATGCTTTTTTAATATACTGCTGCTTCAGAAAAGTAAGAGGAATCCGTAAGAGAGATGAGATGGAAAGAAATGTGTGAGCAGTTAGCAAATGCCAATGTCGCTAAGGCCAGGTAACCTAGGGGTGAGCCTGCCACAGCATGTAGTTCCCTCAGTGACCTTCCAATTCAGTCATGGCCATCCAAGTCACAAAGTTGTCCTAGGACAGAGATGTCCCAACTCCAGGAAGCAACAAACAAATCCTTCTGGGAAGAAAGTGGCCCAACTGAGGCCCTCAGGAGATCCAGAAAGCAAACCCACTCAAATATGAGCTCTCAAGGAAATACCCACATGAATAAGAGTAGCAATGATAAATACAATCTCAGATATTATAAACATCTAACAAAGAGTGCCAAATAACTCTCTGTGAAATTATAGAGAAATTATAGAGAAAGAAATTATAGAGAAGTATAATTTGTAATAAAAATTAGGAAGCAGACTAGTAGGTGGCATGGAGAGTAGGCCACTGGATCCCACATGGCTGTCTGAAAATCACGCTGGGCACATGTGCATGCATGCCCAAAATCCCAAGGGGAGACTGAAGAAGAAGGGACTGCAGTATGGCCATCCCCTTAAGAGGTGATTTCTCAGTCTCCTCCACCCTCCTCACCCCCATCTCCCTCTAGGAAACGCATATGCCCTGTAACAAAAACTAGAAAATAAACGTAAGTAAGGAAGATCAGAAAACAACCATGTAGAATATCTGACACTGTAAAATTTAATTGCTGAAGACTCAATGGCAAAGTTAAACAGAGATTAGAAAGTTGAAAGAGAATTTGAGAGTTGGAAGACAGAACTGAAAAAAATCATACTGACTGCAACACAGTGAGACAAGTCACAGAAAGTAAATGGATAGAAGGACCAGCAGAGAATAGAAGCAGGAAGCAACACCAGTCTAATCAGGGACCAGGAGGAGGCCACAAAGGGGATGAAGGATGTTGAGAAAA